GTCATTAGGGATCATTAATATGCAGAGCAATGCCACGCAACAGAGGCTGCTGGGGTAGGAAATGAGATCCATCATCTGTTGTTAGAGCTGCAGGATAACTTCAGGGTCAGCAGAAATCAGGCACAGGGGCTGGACTTGGGCAAGGATTCCTCATTAGGACATGGAGCGTGTGTGTGGGTGGTATGGGGAGGGGAAAGGCAAACCTGAGCAGCTTTGGGGTTCCTCCCATCCTCATCCTGCAGTATTGGTTTGGATCTTCTGGATCCTGTAGCTGTTACAGTCACTCCAGTGACTCCTCAGTGCAGACAGACTATGCCCAAACTCGATAGCTTGGATTGCATTTGTATAAATTGAGTTAATACCCAGTTTCAGGCTGTCTCCTGCCTGTTCCACAGGCCAAGGATCTTTTTTCCTTTCTTCCTGCCTTCTTGATTGGCACCTTCATTTCTGCCTTATGAGTCTTTTCCTGGTTTTGGTTGGTTGTTTGCCACCAGAGACTGATTTCTACACCCACCACACCACCTAGGCAGGTGGTTGCAGGGGGGAGTGCCTGCACCTGTTTGTGGTATCACAGATTTTGGGTGATTTTGGTGCCTTTGTGGGTAGCAGCATGGGCTGCCTGGGGGTGCTCGTGAAGGAGGTCTGCTTCCCCTTTACCTGTGGGTATAGGATGTCTTCCCAATAGCCATCAAGAGCTTTTTCTGCTTTGCTTTCCTTGCTCTGAAAGGCCTGGGAGTATGAGGAGCAGGGGTGGCAGGGAGTAGGAATGTTTCCTGTGATCTGTCGTGGATCAGCAAGGAAGGGAGACCAGCTGAGCAATGAATTATGTATCTCCTCTTTAAATAAAGAGCATTTCCATGCCTTGGAAAGTTCAAAAGATTTTTCTACGTGCTGGTTTCTGATACTGGACAAGCTGGAAATGTTAGTGGGTATGTTAATGTTGCTCCTGGCCCTCACAGCGTTCACTTCTGAAAAATAGAAATGGTTTTAATGTGCTTGGCCTGGGAGCTTCGATTTGAAATGAATACTGTCAGCTGTGTTAAAAAGATGATAAATTACGCTGAAAAACGTGTTTTGGTTTCCAGCAGCAGCACTGGGGTTGTGCCACAGTTACAGGAGAGGCAGAGTCATTCAGAATGCAGGTGTTTGCCCCTCCTGGCTCTTACCTTGGCACTGCTGGGCCGCCTGGGCTGGTCCAAGGTGTTCCTGCCCAGGGCAGGGAGTTGGCACTGGAGGGGTTTAAGGTCCCTTCCAACCCAGACCAGTCTGTGATTCCAGGGTTGTCCCGTGGTTGCTCTTGGCTGGGAGTTAAACCAGCTCCCTGTGCAGTGACTCCTTTTTCCTCAGGCTCAGGCTCACGGAATCACAGAATAATTGAGGGTGGAAAAGCCCTCCCAGACCATGGATCCACCCTGTGCCCAATGCCCACCTTGTCCCCCAGCCCAGAGCACTCACTGAGTGCCATGGCCAGGCCTCCCTGGGACACCTCCAGGGGTGGGGACTCCACCACCTTCCTGGGCAGCCCCTTCCAGTGCCTGACAACCCTTTCCATGAAGAAATTTCTCCTGATGTCTTGGGGACTCCTGCTTTTTGGGCTAATTTTTCCTGTTGCTGGCTGCTTTATGTGCTCATTAAAAGCAGTGGGGATTCATGGGTAAAAGGGAAGGTAGAAAATGTAACCCAGAGTAAGCTCTAATGTGTTTGTAGATGAGAACCAACTTGACGTGTTTCTGTGTTTGAGATTTATGATCTAATCATTCCTTCCCCTGCACAGCAGGGACTGGAGCAGCGTGTAGTTATTTACATATAGGGAACATTAAACAGCCACCTCTTTAAACCATATGTGAACATAAAATCCAACAACCACTGCTGAGTAATGAGTCTTTGCGAAAGATGAGAATAAAAATAAAGTGGAAACAAGCAGAACGAAAAGGTATTGCAAGAAGCAGCTGTGACAGCAGCACGTTATATCCCTGTGGCAGGGTGAGAATGTGACCCTGTGAATGTGTCCTCCTGAGTTCACACTGTACACACTGAACACGTGCACCAGCTTTGCTCTGTGCTCCTCTGGAGCTGTGATGGGCTTTGGATGCCGTGAGGAACTAGAGGATCTTTGAGTTTGGAGGTTGGCAAAGGGATTAGGGGCTGTTAGTGGTTTTTATTTCCCCCCTTTTCAGGAGAAAAATACATGGAAAGGGCATGTTCTGTGGAGAATTTGCTGCTCTCTGTATCATATGAGCCCTAAAATACTGTGGTTTTATGCCTTCTTTCCACTGGTGGCTTAGTTCCTTGAAATGGACTCTCCTGTCCTTTTCTATTTCTAGTGCTAATTACGAACAGGAACTTGAAAATAATTCCCTGATAAAGGGGAAGGTGTCCCCAAATGGGTACAGCTGCATCCTGCAGAGGCCAGGATTATCCCAGAGGCACGTGTTGTCGGTGGGTCTCAGCACAGAGGTTAGATCCAGAAGCTGGTAGTTGTGACTGAGAAATGTATTTATTCCTTCCCAATGAATCTCCTCGTTGTTGGGATCACTCTGATGGTGAACCTGAGAAGAGTAACTTTGGGATTTAGAATAAAATAAGAAGCAAATTTCCGTGATATGGGGGTTAAGATACTGAGTTTCTATCACAGAAATAAGACTGTTTTCTACTTCTAAAACACCCTTTCAATGGCATTTTAACAACATAACTGTCCTTTGCATATCTCATCTTTTAACCCTCTGCACTGCTGGGCCCTGAAAGGAATGCGTTAAAAAATGTGGAAGGCAGGGGGCTTAAGAAATTTTTTTGTCCTTAAATCCCCACTATTTTCAAGTAGGATTTTAGAAATCTCTGCTGTATTTTAATTTGGTTTGTCAGAGTATAATTACCATGGATGAGGTAAAAAACTCATTTAAACACGGCAAGTGTGGTGAAGAATCCAATTTTCAGAAATCAGTGGAAATGTAATTGGAGTCATTAAGTGCTGACTTCGGTAATTAAGAGTTGGGTTTTGACGTTTCAGGCTTCTGTTGCTAATTGTCCGTGGAGAGGGTACAAAAATGTTGTGTTTGCTGAGGAATTGGTGGCTCCCTGGACCTGTGGAGCTGCTGGCCACACTCAGACAGGTGTTGGTAGCACGGCAAACGGTGCCTCCTCTTTATTTGTGTCACAAGGTACAGAGCCAAAGCAATCCCTTTAGGATAATAATCAGGAGAAGGGTTTTTCTAAGCAAGAGATGGATGCTCAGCTCCTCAACCTATCTTGCTTTCAAACTTGGATCTTGGGTTGCAGGTCCATCTTGATAAAATATCTGGATCTCTCTGCAGACTGAAAGTGCTGAGAAAGTTTTGAATAAAAGAAATCAGTGGTAGAAGTGCATCCTCATCATTCCTTGTTTGCAGAATTATCTTTAGGAAGTCAGGATGTTCTGCATTTTTAACTCCTGCAGTTTGAGCAAGATGCTTTTGTTATGATAATGGAGAAACCATAAAAACTCCTGACATGCTGATAGTTATCATCATATAAAACAAGCCTTATGCTTACTTTCCTATTAAAAATTCTAATTTTCCAGAGCAATGGCACTTATAAGGTGTTTTTCCTTTCATTTTGTTGTTTTCCCAGCACCCAGATGATGCTGTTTGAGCCTCCAGCATGGGAGCTGAGGCGAAAGGTTTTGTGCTTTTGAGCTTTTACTCCCACAAACAAATCTATCTCTTGCTCTGAGTTTGAACCTGTAGTTATCTTCTGTCTCCTCAGAAACCAGAGTTCAGCTAGAAAGTTACCTAAAATGTGTTTTTAGCATGTTGGCTGTGCTCATTTCTTAGATGCGGGAAAACCACGGGCAGCTTAAACACCTGTTTTACCCAGAAATCCCCTTTTTGGGATTGTGGTGTTTTTTCACAGTGCAAAAGTGTGCTTCCCTTCTCCTCCTAGAGGTTCTGACCCTTGAAGCTGAATGGGTGGTTTCTCCTGAACTTGTTCACGTTAGTGTTGGATGTGGGGCATCCATGGGATACTCTTTGGAGCTGGACACCTTGAGGGAGGGCCCAGAGGAGCAGCCTGGGCCATGTTCAGAAGAAATGATCATGGAATCACAGGATATCTGGAGTTGGAAGGGGCTCTTGAGGATCACTGAGTCCCTCCCCTGGTCCCTTTGCAGCCTTATGGTTTCTGGGTGACACACTCCTCAGAATACCTGGCAGTGGCTGAGTGTCGTATGACAGAAGCCAGGGAAGCACCTTAAGTAGCTGGAACAGGTTGGAGTCATCATGCCAAGCTCTTCTGACCAGGCTGGTTAGGAAGGACTGTCTCTTCATTGCCTGGGCTTCCATACAGTCAGAGAGCAGCCCTGGTGCTTGATGATGATTCCAGGCTGGGCTTTCTGTAGCGTGTTGTCCCCATCTCCCAGACACTGAGCTTGCAGCTAGAGATGAGGGGAGTAATGAGGATACGCTCTGCTTTAGGCATAATTTCCTTTTCCCTTCGCTGTTTCCTTTTGTTTTATATCTTCAGACAGCCCATGTTGCTGCCTAATTGGATTACTGGGTCACTTGCTGACTGTGGGCCGTGCAGGACTGGGACCGGTCCCTGCGGCTCCGCAGTTCGGGAGCTGATGTGGGCTGGCAGCCCTGCTGAGCCACTGCAGTCTTGGGGGCCTCATGGAAAACGGCATTTCCCAACCTCCAAACCCTACAATGGCTGCATGAAGGAATGGATCCGTTCCTTCCTTTCACCTGGCTCCTTAGCTTTAGGGAGGAACAATTCCAAATGCCTTTGTTTTGTAGCCTCCAAGTCTTCTGGGGGCCGGGTGGAAATGCAAAGCCTTGAGTGCAGTTTGGGTGTTTGCCTTTGAACAGCTCTCACTTAAAACGAGGGCTCTGTATCTTAAACAAACCAGCTCCTTGCAGTTTCCATGGTAAGCTCTCCTTCATAATTGAACAGGAGTCATAAACGTTGCATAAACCCAGGGAAGCTGCTGCTCTGTGGTGTCAGCCCTGTGTTTGCTCTCTGTGCAGTGCAGCTCCCCGGGGAGGCTCCTCGTGTGTTCCACGGCCGCCCCAGGACTCCTCTCCAGACCCTTCTGCTGAGGAGAAACCAACTGGAGGAACTGTGAAGGCTGAAGTCTGTTGTCGATGGGACTGCACAGAGGGAAAACTCAGACCTTCTGCTTTCCAGGGATCCCTCTGCAGACTGTGCTGTCAAACTCTCCTTCCGGAGCTGCTGCGTTCACCTAGAAGCTGTCAGACCTTTGGAAAACAAGAGACCTTGCCAAGGTAAGCATGAATGACATATCAGATCATGCTTTTAAAAATCCATTCTTTCATTTTATTTTTTTATTTTCAACCAGCTTTGCTACTTCTGGGACAAGAACTTCTGTGCTGTCCCACCTCTTAGGTTTTATAGTTTAAATGTGTGGATGTCTGTTACGATGCCACGTGTGTCCCGCCACACGTTACCCCCCTTCCCTTTTCTCTGCCTCTTTAATTATGAGGATTTGAGCCTCACATGCTTAAAGTTTGTCACATGGACCCAACAGCACTGAAAAAACTCCAACCCACTAAAAAAGCCCCTCAGACAGCCCCAGGTGTAAAGTAGACCTCAGGGTTTTGATGCCTGAAGCTTGGCAACACTGTATTTCCAGCAGTGGAGCTACTTGAAAGGTTTCCCCTCCCAGGGAAAACAGTGACCTTGGCTGTCACAGCACGGGATGATGGTCCCAGACCCCTGCTTGTGGGCAGGATGGTGTGGGTTGCTGTGCTCTGAGCTTGTCCCTGCCAGGAGCACAGCACTTCCAGGCAGGTGATGATGAGGTGTGCCCTGTGTCTTTTTCCGCTGGTCTGGAAGCATGTCCAGGGGTGTTATGTTACCTTGGAAAAACTGCTCGTGGGAGACGACTCGTGGATGTTGTTTTGCTGCTTCTCCTTGCTCGTGGCACTGTGGAGTTCCAGGCAGGGGCTGCTCCTCCATCCTGTGCTCTCGCACTTCCCGCTCACCGCACAGATGGAGTGTGAAGCTTCCCGGTGCTCTGTGGCAGCAGCACCCACAAGCACAGAGTGACAGACTGATCCCTGGATTCCCCTCCTTTCCCTCCTCCTCCAGAGCCAGCAGGAGAAAGGTTTTTGTTCTTTTCTTTGTGTGAGTTCGTGTGGTGCAGCGCGTTGGCAACGTGCCTACGGCCTGCGAGGGGAGGGGACAGGAGGGGGGTCAGGGGAGGCCACAGCAGAGTCATCATCATGCTTTTTCACAGAATCCCAGAGTCGTTTAGGTTGGGAAAGACCTCTGAGATTGAGTCCAACCTGTACCTGATCCCCACAGAACACTGAGTGCCTCGTCCAGTGTTGTCCCCATCCATCCTGTGGCTGTGGTGGTCTGTCTTTAGGTGTCCATGATCTGTCCAACCTGGCATGGAACACTTCCAGGGCAGCCACAGCCACAGCTTCTCTGGACCAGGGCCTGTGCCAGGCCCTGTGCCAGGGCCTCACCACCCTCACAGGGAAGAATTTTTTCCTAATATCCAACCTAAACCTACTCTCTGTCAGTCTGAAGCCATTCCCCCTTTTCCTGTCTCTCCAGGCCCTTGTAAATAGTCTCTTTCCATGTTTCTTGTGGGCTCCCTTCAGGTACTGGAGCCTGCAATTAGGTCACCCCGAAGCTTTTTCTTCTTCATGCTGAACAATCCCAATTCTCTTAGCCTTGTAAAGGATTTAGGAAAAAAACCCAAACCCGAGGAATTTTCCCTTTAACAATGCCTTGTTGCACAGAGGCAGGATTTCTTGCCCTCTGGCATTCTCATATCAGGAGGGCTCTGAGTGGCAGAGGTCAGGATTTGGGGAGGGGGCTGTGGGTCCAGGCTGACCCCACAGAGTGACCCGTGGAGTGCAATCCCTACAAAGCGAGGCTGTTCCCAGGGGGGATCTGGCTGCCGTGTTCCTATTAAAATGTTCCAGAGAGGGGGGGATAAGGAGGAAACTAAGCCCGTTTCCTATCTTAGATTTTTAGGAGACACTTAAGGGAGCGCAGTTGGATGAGTAAGGGCAAAGGCAAATTGCAGAAAGCACTTACTGGGCTTGTCTGGGGATTTGAGCCGTGCAGTCTGTGGTGCGAAAGCCGGGCTTTGCTGTAGGAAATGGCAATAAAAGCCGACAAGCCTAAAGACCCAGATTAATTTAGAAACTCTGCAGCTCAGGGGAGGGAGGGTAGAAACAGAAGTGCAGCGGCTCAGACTGACCTTTCCATCAACTCCACGGCTCTTCCAAAGATGTTTGTGGTGTCTGAGCTGGGGTTGATCCGTGGGATCCCTGGGTGATGTGGGGCAGCTGGAACTCAGGCTCCGGGGTTCCTCCTTGCTCACCAAATGGCTCTGGACCTCCAGGAGTGTGGGGCTCTTTGGCCAGCGTGGGGTGACACTGTCCATTGGTCTGTCCAGCGGGCTCGGGATGGTGCTGCCAAAGTGTCGGTGCCAGAATCTGTCCCTAAAGCTCAGGATGCAGTTTGCAACATGGAGCAGCTCCTCTGTGCAACTTGGAGAGGTTGGATCTCTGTTATATGTGCTGCCTGACATGGGTCAGTGGGTGTTATACAGGATCTAATTATCCTGATGGCCCAAGGTACAAAAGAAAGAGACCTGTTCACCTCGGGCTGTGTTGCTGACCGTGGGTGCTTTGCTTCCCTCTTTCCGTCCCTTCCATCCTCTCACAAAGCTACACAGTGAAAGATGATACCAGAATTCCTCTTCCTCAGGCTGCTACAGACAGTTGTTTCCGTGATCTTTGTTTACATAGATCCAAGTCAGATTCAAGTGCTTTTTAAAAACTCAGAGGACTTGTCAGGAGGTGGGAGACTGTCATCCCCTTTAGTCTTTTCTGTACAGGTGTGTCATCGTGTGACCAAATTCTATCCTGAAGTTGTTTAAAAAAGCCCTTACATTGTGATACTTGGAGATGTTCATGTTCAAGTGTCACATGGGCATACATATTGTACTTTATAATGGCATCTTAGCAGCTTAGGAAGTGATTAGTTTACTTTCGTGCCAATGTTTTCGCCTGTGCAGAGTGGGAGTTCTTACTGACATGTGCTGAAGTCCTTCTCCTGCCCTCCAGGGTTTAAATAAAAACCACTTTCTTTAGGAGCATGTCAGAGAAATTCTGTTTTGAAAAGCTGTTTGGTTTCTTAGGAGCATGTGCACATATGTTTTTCTCTTTATGTTCTTAGGTTTCAGTGGTATTTAAGCCCCATTTTTCAGAACTGAGTGATTTAGAAGCGTTAGACTCTTTAACAGGACCTAAAGCGAACAAGGCTGTTTCTTAAACTGCTGACACGTGTGTACCCATGTGCATTGGTCATTGGAGGGCCACAGTTGGATCCTTGGATCACTGCAGAAGCTTGGGAGCTCCTCACTCTTTGGTAAAGGCAGGGGGCCGGGGCTGTGCTGTGTCGGCCCCAGAGGGCAAGTTGGTGTCCCATACACTGCCTGGTTTGTGGTTATTCCAGCAAAGAGGTGCAGCCCCTGCTGCCCAGAGGCCTGTGGAGCGTGCCTGGGACTGTGGCAGAGGTGTGGCCCACACTGGGTGTCCAGCTACCACCTGTAGCAGAGGTTTCTGCTTCAGTCCTGGTGGTCACTGTGCCCTCAGTGTCACTCCCAGGGGTTGCAGCAGTGATACCTAGGTCTGGTGGCTCGGAATTTCACTGAGTTTGTGGTCTCTGCAGAGCTTAAATATATTCATCATTCTTTTGAACCTCTTTATTTCAGCAGTCAGAACGGGGGGGAAGAGCTGTAAATGAGTTGTAATGCCAGGCTGAGCTGGGAGTACTGCCTGTTAGGAGTGGGGTGTGCTGGAGTTTGACTAAGCCTTAGCAGGCACTGCTCATTTCACTGCAAGGCCTAAATCAGATTATTGTCTGAGTCTCCCCTCAGCAGTTTAAATCCTTATCAAATATTCTCTGGTCTCATGCATTTGAGTTTCCCTTCTTCACTGTCTGTGGAGTAAAGGGAACATAGTTTAACCCTCACACAACTTTGTCCTCTCTTTACAGCCTTTGCCCTGTTAACTTTCTAAGGACATTTTTTGAGCTGAAAGCTCAAAAAATAGATAGAAATGGATAGAAAAACTGTCACGGTCTTTTGTAAACGACATAAGACTATCCAGATGTGTTGATGTAAACCAAGGCTCCAGTAATTCTGAAAATGAGAAGCTCTCCATGCATATATAGCTCCTAGAAAATCGATCCATCAGTTATTTGTGTTTTTTTCTGCATCTGGAACGATTCCCTAATTTTGCAGGAGACTTGGTGTGCATTTCTGCCTGCCTCATTGACTCCTTTGTGTAAAGGACCAGGAATACCGATCCCAGGGAGCTGTATTAACAAATGCTCTGGTTCAGTGGTGGTGTGCCCTGTGTCAGGTATGTTTGGATATAGTTAATCCTGCCTGGGGAGGCGGCAGGATGCTTTGTACAACCTTTGGAAGTTTCTTCCAAGCTGGTCTAGGCTCTGTTGGCTCAGACCAACCGGGAGTGTTCCATGTAGGAGCTCAGTGAGTCCTGGTGGAAGCTGTAGCTGTATTTCTCCACAGCCTGACATTTCATTTGGTTTCTCACGTTACCCAGCTTAGTCATCTCTTTAGAAATCTCAACTTCTTCCTCCTCTCCCGGCATACAAACCAGATCCCGCTTGGTGGATGGTGCAGTGGTTTGCCCTAGCAACCACACAGATCTCCCAAAATAGCTCCTTCCATGGCTGCAGAGCCTCTCTGAACCTCAGAATGTGGACTGCACTCTCTTGTTTTGCCTCTAATGGTCACGCAGAAAATAACCAGTGCTGTGAGTGGACTTTGTGCACAGAGCGAGGCTCTTTGGGACACGAGGGAAATTCCTGCAGTGTTTATGTGCTGAGGGAAAATGCCTTTGGAGTCAAACCATTCCTTCTGTGTGCCCACGTGAATGATGTTGTTCATGGCCTGTTCCCTGCTCAGGGAGCACCTGAGCTGGGAAGGCTCCTGGTGCCAGCCTTGGCCGTGCCAGGGTTGAAATTCCCTGCTGGAGTGGCTGCTCTTGGCCCCTTTGCCCCTGGCATCACACACCCTTCCTGAAGAATGGGACGGCCACTCCATGAGGTCTCCCCTTTCTTGGAACATGGGTGTACAAGTTTCTGCTGCTGTTTGTTTTTTGTGATAATCAGAGCAAGAAATATTTTAATACACTTTTGAAGTGTGGCCATTTTCTTTTTCCTGCCTCTCCAGCCTAAGAAAATTCCTGTGTTTGGGATATCTT